ATGTTAGCGTATAAAGGTAAAGCAAAAGTAGAAGATTGCAAAGATTTGTCTGTACAAGCTGTTTTAAAGTAATGTCAAGAATGATATGTGTGTTATTTTAAATTTATTTTCAAATAGTAAATGAAGGCTCTGTGATCAGTAACGTCCGACATATATATATATATATATATGAAACTAGAGAAACCATGATAAAAATGTAAAATCTAATTTACAAAATGTCACTTTAAGGTTATATAAGTCGCATTGTTCTATGTAATCTACCAAAGTATGGTTTATTTAACAAAATATTTGTCACAGATTGTACAACACAAATAGCGTTAGTTGACGTAATAAACAACAGATATTTTTCAATGCAAATGCTAATGACTTTGTAAAGACAATTATCTCTCTCTTGCTTTTCATAGTCGATAAAAGTCGATAAAGAGAGCTGTTTTATTTGCATCTGGAAACAACAATTACCCTTTGATGGCTTTTGACGACCATGTTTGGTATCGTTCATCGTTCATGTCATATACATCATCTACCGAACCTGTGTCTCAAGGTCCATTTTGTTGTCACCCCAACAGCCTTCAAGCTATGGGATATAGAAAGATAGATAGATAGACTGAGACTTTTTCCTTTCATTTCTACTTTGTGCAGATAAGCAACCTTTCATATTGCCGCTGGACATCTCCAGGTCTCACATCAATGAAAGATCCCTTAGTCAAGGCAAGGTGTGTGGTGATAGGTAAGAGTGAATGTGAACAGAGGGTGTGTGTTCAGACTCGTGTGTGATAAGAAACTGTGTTCATACAATTGACCCTACCGCAAATATGATGTTCAACAGCAGGTGGCGACCTTCCTTCTACACTGCACAGGTCAGCACATGCGCTGATACGATACTGGGGAAGACGAGAAGACAAAGTTTCTTCCGGCTTCCCGCATAGAGAATGTACAGCAGTGCCAACTAATTCCTTATTTTACTAAACTGTTGTTCAGGTTTCATGAACTCCCCCAATGATTTGATGAGATCTATGTAGGCACCATCATAATCTGTTACTAATAATTAATTGGTTCTGACACTATGATTTCTACCTGACTTTTCAGTTCTCCACCCATTGTATTTGTATGGGAACTTTGCCAAATATACCCATGGCCAGTGCGTCCCTCTTTGGCCAAATACTGTAGTTACGGTAGCCAGAATTGCTTGATGTACTTAAAGTGTCAAAAGCTTTGCATTACAAAGTCTACATGACCACATACACTTAATTATCAGCATTTTCACCATAAGGGGAATCCCTTTCTATTGATATTGCAAGCCAAGGAGGTAATGAAAAGTAAGCAGAGAGACTCAATTTAGATATTATTGGGATTGGAAAACTGAGGAAGTTCTAACTTTTCTATGTACCACTATAAAAGCCACCTCCATTTCTATGACTCTCCGCACTTAAATAACGAAAAGGTATGGTCATATTCATTAAATAACAACATGGTGTTGTTACACAGGAAAAATATTCCCGATGTAATATTTCCTTTAGTTTTAATGACTTTTTAAATTTTGTTTATGAATTATTGCTTGTACAGTGTCCTCATGGCTTGGATTCTAGCATTGGTCCTGTGTGTGAATGTTTGTTTCTGTTCCTGTCCTAACAGAGTAAATACAATTGATTGTGGAGATGAGGTTGCAGCGTGGCTTACAGAGGTCATAGGTCAACGTTGTCGTCTGCAGCAGCAGGATCCAGAATACCACAGAGCGAGTAAACTCAACAGAAATATAGGTAATTGTAGCCAAGTCTTTAATCTGACATGACTTTTCTTCTTGAAAAACGAACATGAAGTTGTTCAAGATTAAATTGAGGAGGATAAATGTCTTTTCACTTCTTTAGATATCAAAGATTTGTTTGAATAACCAAAAGCGAGAATATGAGATAGAGGAGAACTTGAGAAAGAAATACAAGGGGATGAGAGAATGGGTATGCACATTCAATTTATACATCAACATACATGTATTTATGACTACGGTAGCCATAATTGATTGATTTTTAATGTGTCATCCATATTAGGATTCAGTTCAGCTTCGACCATCGGTACTGATCAAAATTAAATCACTTGATAGAGAGCATTGTTAATTCATGGTAAAGTAACCTTCAACAGTCACTAGAACCAGATCAGCAATGAGCCCACAAGTTTTTAGCGTTTAGTGAATGTCTCAAATTGTCTCGTCGGTAATGATCACAATTAATAATAAAATTGAGTTCTGGTCATGTTAGCATTGTGAAAAAAACGGTATGGAATCTATCAGAACAGGTTCATCATCTAGTATATAAGTATTTGTGTGTATTGCAAGGTTCTGGAATCATCAAAATGATAAGAAATTTGGCCAAATCTTGGCAAAGTTACAAGCCCTGTACACAGAATGATGTATATATATATAGGACTACACGAGCACATGGCGAAAAAAACCTACCCCCGATTTTTACGATGTTTCATGTCCTGTTTAGAATATGAAGGCATTTGAAAAGCCATGCTTTTCAGGGAACATGTTTAATCAAGATGTTCTTCCACCCTTGCATAATAACAATGATAACGCCCACAAATTATTGTTTACCTCTTCCCAGAACTCAACCTTCTCTTTGATTCACTTGTTGGAGCATTGTTAATTGACAGTAAAGTAACCTGCAACTGTCCTAATAGCCAGATTGGCAATGAACCTACTAGCTTTAGAGCATTTATATTAGTGAATATCTCAATTGTTTCATTGTGTTACACAGCCAAGAGAGCATCAAACTGCTCCCTCTCCCTCGCCAACCAATCTCAGTACCTCTTAGTGACCGCATCTTCTTCAGCCTCCCTGCTATCAGCAGTCAAACAGTCCTCCCATCAGGAGAGTAACGGTAATCAGCTGTCCATGGACGACATGGTATCACGATTCAGGTCGAACCTTGTGGTAGAGGGATGCGGGGCTTTCGATGAGGAATCGTGGAGCAAGATAGCCATTGGAGGTCAAGAGTTTGAGGTAGGAGGATATTATATATCGTCCTTGTTTTCACGAAGTGACGGTAGTGAGGAAAATCGTCACGCAAAGTGAATGCAATTTTTTTTCACTACCGTCACTTCGTGAAAACAGCGACAATATATGCATCACTTTTTATTGTTGTTTTAGGGATATTATTCAAGATACATTAATCTTGATCTATTTAAGGAGACACAAACAAACGAAGGGCTATCGTGAGTTCTGCCATATCATCCTGGTAGCAACCGGTTTACAAACATGTCCAAATTGTGTGAATTCTGTGTAAAGAAAGATTGTTCTAAAGCTTGCTTGAGGTTTTCCCTGGCATATCAACATGTAATGCATGGTTCATTCATTAATAACAGGTTAATGGAATACCCTCCTCTCCAGGTTTCCAGGTAAAAAACATCCATAAATTTAAATGTAATTCAGCAAACCTGTCTATAGCGACCGCCCAAGGGAAACACAAAAAGTTGTCTTTGTAGACAGGTTTCAATGAGAAACCATTTTCATGGGAAACTAAAAATGTGGTTTTTGTAGACAGGTGTTCACTAAAGCAGGCTTGACTGTAGTCAACCAGTCTATTATCCCAATTTCAGGATAGTTTGGGTTTGCCATTTCAGAATCTTCATTCCAGTTGTTTTAAATAAAACTGAAATGCATTTCACCCTGCAAATACTTGATCATGTCCCTGTTAGTACTTGTATGCAGGGCTCACCAGGTTTGCATGTGAACATCTATTGTTTCCATTTATTTTTTTGATTGCAGACCAACTAATAACAGGTAGTTTCCAAATTTCTCCTTGATTATGTAGGTCAAAGGTTGCTGTAATCGTTGTCAAATGATCTGTATCAACCAGGATACAGCTGAGAAGGGCACCGAGCCTCTGTATACGCTATCAGCCGTCAGGAGCAAAAAGGTGAGGTCTACTTCATATTTTTTGTTTGAACTGATATTATGGACTTGTGTTTGTTTGAATAGATTTCAGAAAATAGTCAGAAATAGTACATCCAAATGGGACATATTTTTAATATTGCCAGTCAAGACCACCAATATTTGTGAAGTGATTTGGGTTGTTGTTAGGTTCTTTGTGTTTGGCTTTGTGTGACAGGACATCCAAAGAATATTTTCTTTCTTCGCTTTATTTTAGATATAATGTAACTTAAAAAGAAGAAGATAATGACAGTTCATGAAATGGAAATGCTTCATTTAATTGATAATCTCCACTCTCCTTGAAATATTCTTTTGTGTAGTTTACTTGATTTATGCCATTTTCTATCCTTTTTAATTCTGATTTATCATGGTTTTTATCCTTCAAGTTTCTTATTATTTCTACAAATTATTAAAAGAATTTGTTGTACCAATCATTATTGCAGATTTTCTTTGGAGTCCACCTCATGAATGGTGCTAATCTTAAAGAAGGGGTCAAAGTGAGGAAAGGTGATGTGGTGAGGGTGCTAGCGAGATGTACTTCATCAGAGACTACTGTATGATGTAAAGATATATGTCAAATTGTGCTATAAATCTGTAAAAAAAGAAAAGTAAATAGTAAGCAAAATAACTACCGTTGGTGAAGGTGATGGGACAAACTATCACTTCCGAGGCGATCTAGATGTAGCTATCTTTCCAAAGCAAAGCTGAGGAAAGATAGCGTATACATTTAGATCGCCGAGGAAATGATAGTTTGCCATTGCCTGAAACCAAAAGGTGATTATTTGCTTTATATTTCACATCGGAAACATTGCACTTCTTCCGTCACTTTAGACCAACAAGTCATCGATTAACAGCTAGCAAACGGTGTACGATACGTATAGTGCATGGTGTGACCATATAGTTCGCGCGTGACCAAAGTTCGCGTACTAACACTAAAAGCGCTTAAAGAGGAAAGCATATGCAGTGTAGCCTATACAATTAAAGTGCGTTGCCCTGTGTGGATAGGACTTCTATCTTTAGTGAAAGTGCGTTGCCCTGTGTAGATAGTACTACTATCTACACAGTGTAACAAACGTTTTGCTTCTACCAGCAATGATGGGCGAACTATCTTTCATCACGTGATTTACTTTTGACCAATCGTAGAGCAAGATTCTTAGTATGTGGAATATAATGCTACTTAAACAAGATAAACTGTGTGTATATATGTCTCACTAGTATGTGCATTAGAAGGTATCGGAAGGAATTAAAAGGCTTTATTCTATTTTACTACATTTCAAAGAGACTAGTTCAATTGTGTTTTTAGAGGCTTATGTTTTGGTGTAATACGTGACTAGTATCACTCACGAGAGGGAACACACAGGACCTCTTTATAACCCACAAAATCTATACAATGTACAGCATTGTGAAAAGGAAAAAATGGCCCATATTACTTTTTTTGTGTACCATATTTTTATTGCAAAGGCATTATTTTATGACTTAGGCAAAATTAAATCTGGACATCCATTATTAGAGTAAACCTTCACCTTTAATCAACAAATTTAATAGCCAAGTAAAAATATGGTGCCTGTTAAAAATGATGTTAGATGTATTTGATTGTGCAATATATTATTCAGCCAGTACTCTGTATATATATATATAACTTTAACTTTGTTTTGAGATTGATCATTGATGTTATGTCACATTGCAAGATACATTTAATGTATAATTCAGGAAAAGATGCCATTATATATTTGAAATATTTAATGTCAGACAAATTGTGTAATAAACTTGTTTTGTATTGTTTGCATTTATCAAACTCTTCAATAAGGAACAGAATACACATTTATGATTTATTTTTATATAAAATATTTAATCATGTCGGACTTCAATGTATTTTATACAGAGATGTTGACATGACACTGCTCAAATCTACAGCCTATATCAAAAAGAATCTAAATGACAAAAGTATCAGGTTAGCTAGTGAAAGTTTTGTGTAATTGCCTGTGCATCAGAACAATGATTTGATAGTCTGAGTTTAATGTATTACCATTGAGAAGTATTATTACCTAGGTGATGAGTGTAAGAAGAGAATATCAGACCTTTGAATGGATAGTACAAAATTTTACTAACTTTTTACTTTAGAAATTTCATGTCTTTGCCAAATAGACAAAACATGGCACAAACTTGCCAAAATAACCTATTACATGTAATAAATCATTTTGCAAAACAATTTTCTCACTCTTCATGTTGTTTTTATCATCTTTTCCCTTAAAATTTTGAAATACATTTGTTGTTCCATTTCAACTTACAAGTCTGAAAAAGTTCATCTACCATCAATTATACAAATAAATTTGTTCTAAAGATGACTGGCACGGTAAAAGGGCAAAAAGGGCTAATACGAGGTTGTTTGCTCATGTTGATGTATCTGTCGAGCTCTCGGGTTGAGATCTTTGCCTAGCTGTCAGTCAGATTTTTATGTGGAGCACACTTCTCACATGAAAATTTCATGAACTTCGTTAGAAGTATCAGTAACCTCAACAATATGGAGACATAACGTGTTCACCAAAAGATAACATAAACTTATACGAAGTAAGAGTGTTGCCTTGGTCATGAGTCCTTTGTGTAGATGTTTCACACACGTTATAGTATTCCTTTTAAAGGCCGTCTGTACTAGTTTGGCTAGGAGAGATAAGACCACCCAGGGTGTTCACTGACAGGTGGTTATCTCATCAACTCGGCTCTCAATTAACATACGAAAAAGAGGATAATGGGGGACCAATGGTCACCGATTAGGCACTGTTTTCTATATAGAGGGAGCAAGTAGCTACAAGCAGTACAGTGGGGCTTAAGAGTGTTGATATGACCTCTGCTTGACCATCAATGCAGTGTTCATAACATAGCCAGTTTTGTATTCCTCTGCAAGACTGCAAAGTAAGACATTTCAATGCTCACAACATTGTTCCTTGGAATAATCACAAGAGAAGTCTCAAAAGACTCATTTATACGCCCCTTTCGATCTCCAATTTAAGAATTCATCAAACTCTGCCTCATCTCCGCTCTCGTTGAGTTCGTTCTCATCCTGTTTTCTCTCTCTGTCTTCAGCCTTTGATTTCAGCTCGTCCTTCTTGTCCCATAGTGTCTCCACTTTGGCGAAACATTGACTGCAAAAGAATAGTATGTAGAAGGCATAAATCAGTCGTCACTTGTCTATCATTCTGTCGTGTATACAACATCGGAAAATAGATGGACAGTAATAGAATAAGAAAAAATCCTTTGTATTTTTATTTTGACGTTTTTTTTTAAATTTTATTTTTACGGCACTAAAATATCATAGTAAGAATATAACTGCCATGAAGCTAAATTTTAAGTAAACTAGTAACTTTTGTACCATTCCTTAGTTCGACATTTTGTGACAAGTAAAATGGCTATGCCATCCACGTCAGATTCCCAAATTATGTTTTTGTGGCTTTGTTGTAAGCATTCCATTGTCGTTGTTATACCTTAGTCGGTAGCTAGTGAAAAAAGTGAATGTAGTATGAGTTGGGACCTTGAATTTGTAAAGGAAAAAACCTGTGCATTGGGTAGTATAGTAACGAAAGAGGTCCTAAAGAGGTGAGTGGAGGTGAGTGCAAGAGAAAAGAGAGAGGGAGAGAGATCGAGACACAGAGAGACAGAGAGAGAGAGATGGACAAAGAGAGAGACAGATGGAGGGAAACGCAATAACCTGGATGACAAATTAATAATTCATCAATCAAAAATTTGTTATGGCACATGTTCCTAAGTATGATAAGACTTACATTTGTTCATCTATCTCATCAATGTTTCTTTCTGTCTGTGCTGCCTCATCGTCTTCCTCTGCTAGATTTTCTGACACCTTTAAAAAAAGGAGAACAAATAGTTTCAAAATGATTTTAAATAATAATAATAATAATAATACTCAGTTTTTATATAGTGCTTATTAGAATCACTAAGCACTTCCAAACTTGGAGATTATTACCCCGGCTTTAGCTGTGCTGCCATTGTGGCGTTCTAGCATTTCAAATAATTAATTCCTGCCAGGTACCCATTTACTTAACCTGGGTTGAGTGTGGCAAATGTAGATCAATGTCTTGCCAAAAGACATTAGTGCCACGGCGTCTCGAACCGCTGACCTTAAACTGGTGATGCCAATAATGACAAATATTACCTTCATCCGGTTGTGCTGCTGATGATATGATAAATTGTGATAAAAGGTGAACTTGGGGATGATGATGGTGGTGGTAAATTGGTATTACAGCGACTTGGTAACATTGCCTCAGATTCTGTAACAAAATCCTGGATTTAGCTTGTGCTGCAATCATAATTATAAACCTTTAGGTCAGTCACTGAGTCAGGAAACCCATGACATTTACATGCCGATCGCCTGTCTGATCATCAAGATATTTATGATTGCAAATCAAAATTTCTTTTGTCGTTTTCCTAACGGTTTTTATAACGCTACAGTCTTTTGGGGGAAATAAGTATGGTAAATTCAATCACTAAAAGATTTTTACATTATTGAGGCACTTCATGATTATTTTAAAGCCAATTTTTTTAAGGGGTTCAATATTACACCATATCACAGACACTGATGACACATAGGGCCATGCACTTCAGATTTAACATTGTTAAACGATGCCTTTAATGTAATGACAGGGATGATCATGGCAATTGTTGCGAAGATGGTGATGATGATGATGATGATGGTGATGATGATGATGATGTTTTTCAGACAAACATAAAACTGACCTGCTGCTGTGTTTGCATCTCTTTCTGGAATTTCTCCCATTCCTCTTCCATTGTGTTCCTCACTTCTACATTCCGTACCTAGGAATTACAACAAAAAAATAGTTTATCACACCATTGCACACTATGAAAATATTAAGATGATGAAAAAGACATTCTTTACTTTGGAAAGAGCAAAGAAAGTAGAAGTTTCATTAGCTAGATGTAATTTACTAATAAAGTTTGACAAATTAGAATTTTTTAAAGCTGAATTCAAATGATGAGTTCATGTAGTATATTATCCGCCCACCAAGATTTATTAATGTCCCTGGAAACTCCCACCTCATATCTAGTCTTTTAATTTTTCATGATATACTTTGAGAGAAATCATTTAAAATACAATGAATTTCATAATCTCTACTCAGGAAGAATGACTGAAATTCTTTACCTTCGCATCCTTCACAGGATCATCAAAGAAGCCTTCTGGAAGAACCTCTGCCATCGGCTTACTGGAGACGGACAAAACGAGAGAGCAAAGAATAAAACCTGATTAATACTTTAACCTGGATCAATATTACAAGAATATTATAATCCATTATTAAATGGTAAAATAACAAAAGTATGATAATCTAGTAAATCTACTCTTTACCCCTAAGGTACAGAATTATATGAAATACATGAATGGAAAGCATAATGTCTTCTGAAAAAAGAATAAAACCTCATTAATTCTTTTAATTCTTGATCAATATTACATTGAAGAATATTTCAATCCAACATAAAAGGTATAATAACAAAAGTACAATTAGGCTGGCTGTACTAGTTTGGCGGGAGGGATTAGACCACACAGCGTGGTTAAAGACAGGTGGCTATCTCATCAACTCAGCTCTCAATTAACATAAGCAAAAGAGAGTCATGGGGGACCAATAGTCACCTATTAGGCATTGTTTTCTATATAGAGGGAGCAAGTAGCTACAAGTAGGACAGTGGGGCTTTAAGGTACAGAATTAGTTAAAATACACGCATGAAAAGCATGTTTTCTGAGGTAGGTATGAAATAGTTTGTAAAGTTTAAAATACGCATAACCTCAGTGGAACCGCAGTACAAAGAGCTCTGATATAATGAGGTATCTGTTATAACAAGGTGATTTTGCTGGTTCCAACTCTTTATGTTTTTTTGTTTTTTTTTACCCCGATATAAAAGATTCCTGATATAACAAGGTAATTTCCTTGGTCCAAACATAATCATTTATTACATAGTAGAGGTGTTGTGGTCGAGTGGATAAGTCACCGGACTGTCGATCACAAGGTCCGCGGTTCGAGTCCCGCCACGGCACCAATGTCCTTTGGCAAGACATTGATCTACATTTGCCACACTCAACCCAGGTGAGGTAAATGAGGGAAATGCACTGTACGCTGATAAGGCTGCCGGAGCTAAAGCTAGGGTAATATATTTTAAAGCTCTTTGGAAGCACATAGAGATGTTATTTCATAACGTATTATGCGCTATACAAGAACTGAACTATTATTATTATTATTATAACGAGTATCCACTGTACTACAGTTTCATTGTATTGATTGGCAGGTTGGAATCACACTATGCATTAGAGGACTGCCTTTTATAAGGTAGGATTTTACTCACTTGGCCTGATCTTGGTCTTCTTTACCATCTGTACCTGAAGGTTCCCCTGCTACATTATTTGATGAAGCACCGCTGTCAAAAAAGTCTGCAAATGAAATTTTTAGAAACTGAACGTTAATGATGGAAGATTTTTCTGATACAATACAAGACAGCACAAAACAATTTCTATAATCAGCATTTCACTTGATAAACTTGCCATAAAGCAATAAAAACAATTATAACGGTAAAGCCCATATCTTAACTCAACACGAGTAATATCGCAGCACCAATATTTAACGTCATCTCTTGTTAGATTCAGTGTCTGATATTATTTATTTTGAGTGCAAATGTACCATGCTTTAGTCTCATTGAAGTATGATAATTGAAAACAATATGAAATATCATTTAATGTTTTGAGACTAGACTTAAAGTTATAGACCAGTTTTGGAAACGCCCCCTCTCAAAAAATGAAATAGAAGCTCTTATAACCAATCATGTGAAAGAATATGTTTTTACTAATACGTGATGATACAAATTTTGCCGGAAAACCGCCTACTAATTGATATATTTGGTAAGTCATCATATCAATCCGGCCTGGATAGATATTGCGAATGCGCTTCAACATTAAACAATTAGGCATAAATTTCTGTTTTTTTTGCGAATTTAGGTTGAAGTATTGCCATCTAAACCTCTGAAGGCAACATTTAAACAATATTGAATGGATATTTTGCACCCAAAACCGTTGAACCGCAATTTTACCACTTCCCGTCTATATCTTTAAGTAGCACTTTATACCTGCTGGAAGCCCTGATGCGATGGCATCATTTGACCTGCTCTTGACCTGTGATGATGAAGTACTAGATGTTGCTGTCCTTGGTGTGGATGATGTGCCTTTACCATTGTCAAAGAAATCTGCTGGAAGTCTGTAAAGATGGATGTATAATAATAATAATAATAATAACCTAGGCTTCTATAGCGCATTTCATCTTCGGAGAAAATAACAATGCGCTTTACAATATTAAAACAACAAAATTAAACATAACTACTACCGGTAATTCGTGAACTAAAGAAATATCAAAATAAGTAAAAGATAAACAATAATCGATCATTATAAACATCCATTACAGAGAAATGAAAGCAAATTATGTAAAAGTACAAGCAATCTAATTAAATTTTGATGAATACAATATTGCAGTTTAAATGACATTAGAAAGCGTTTTTAAACAAGTACGTTTTCAGTTGAGATTTAAAGAAAGTTACAGCATTAAAAAAAACACAGGGACAATAAAAGAGGTTCAGCTTTCATGGGCAAATAAATCACATTGTATTAACCTATATTTATAATCCTTTCACACATGTAATCAAGTGTTAGTGAGGTCATGAAGTGGGAAATATTAATTAACTTACATTTCTCTTGACAAACACATAAGAGCATGATAAAAAGACATTGATTAAAATGGGTAATACAAGTCATTTATTAAAAATTCATGTTTTCAAGAAACACACACACACAAAATTAATAAAAAAGAAAAAAGGGGTAAATATTAATCTAGAAACGGTCACCTTTCAGCTTAAAATAGGCAACATGTTCAATGATTTGTATATTGTCTTTACTATTTATGGCTGGGATCCTTGCCCCGTTAGGGACGTATCACACAAATCGAGTCTATATCTATCTAGGCCATGCCATACTCCACCAAGTTAAATTCATAGATATGTGTATTTGAGATGTCATACATTTACCGTTGGTTTTCTGCAACCAGTTTGGAAGGAAAGAGGTAAAAACAATCTTCAAGATAGCAGGATGGGCAATGAAACTTACTTGTCTTGTGTTTTTTCATTGTCTGATTCATCAGATGAGGAGTCATCATAGGGTAGACCAACTAAAAACGAAATTATGAAAAAGTAATAAAAAAAAGTATGATGTTAGTGCAGCACTACAGACAAATATTTGTGGTATTCAAGAAACAGAAACTACAATGATGCAGGGGTGATAGTGAGCACTAAAAAAAATATAGGTTTTTTGTTTTCCCCTCAACCACGCCCCCCTTGAGTAAAAAAAAAGAAGAGGATTCGCAGGGAAAAAATGGCATCTAACAACATTCCCCCCTTTTGAGTAAGAAAATGGGGGAAAAATAGGGCAAAATAGGGAAGAATAGAGAAAATAAGGGGGAATCGGGAAAATCAGGATAAAATGGGGGGAAAAAAAGAAAAAAAATCAGGAAAAAATCGGGGGAAAAAAAATTTAAAAATCAGAAAACCGATTTAAATTGGGTTTTTTTCAGGCCTGAATGATGGAAAGGTTGCATGGTTACATCAATCTCTTTAGATGGTGGTACACCTAAGCAAGCATTTCTATGAAGGTGTCATGATCTAGTAGCTAGGTCAACGAACTGTGGATCACATGGTTTGCGGTTTGTGTCCAGCCGCGGCACCAATATCCTTTGGAAAGACGTTAATGATTTACGTTTGCCACACTCGACCCAGGGGGGGGGGGGGAATGGGTACCTGGCAGAAATTAATTCCTTGGAATGCAAGAGTGCCATAAAGTAAAGCTGGGTTATTGATTGTGGAGCACCAGGAGTGTCAAGTTTGACAGACATTAGGGACTTTTAGATTCGCACGAAGACAATGGGGATTGCTACGATTGACGTCCTTTTAATGCACTGCCTTGAATGGACGTCACACGTATCAGTCCACGCAAATCTAAAAGTCCCTATTAGTGCTATACAAGAGCCCACTATTATCATTATTATTTTTATGATTATTTGTCTACTAGAAACTGATATGACATTAACATGTAGCTAATTAAATTCTTACTTATCCGTTTCTCTGAAACCTTGTGCTGAAGAGATAGGGTTCTACGTCAACCTACCAACATTTTCTGGTTAGTTCAGTAGTACAAAGAAGCCAGTACGGCTAAATAACATATCTTGTAGCTAAATCAGTGTAGCTAAATCAGTGTAGCTTAATCAGGGGTGATAGTGAGCACTAACAAAAAAGAAGGTGTTTTTTTTACCTCAACCACGCCCCCCTTGAGTAAAAAAAGAAAGAAGAGGATTTGGGGGAAAAAAATGGCATCTAACAACATTCCCCCCTTTTGTGTAAGAAAATTGGGAAAAAAAGGGGAAAATAGGGAAGAATAGGGGAGAATAGAGAAAATGAGGGTAAAAATCAGGATAAAATCTGGAAGAAAAAAAAGAAAAAAAGAAATCGGGAAGAAAAAAAAATCTGGAAAAAATCATGGGAAAAAAAATAAATCCAAAATCAGGAAACCGATTTAAATCGGGTTTTTATCAGGCCTGAGCTAAATGCAAACTGTTCTTACTTCTTGGTTTCTTCAGTATGCCCTTAACAGGTTGTGCCGTAGCGGCTGGTTCTGCTTTCCTCTTGGCAGAAGTAGTAGACTGTGATAGTGGTAGAGGGTTGCTTCTCGCAGGGTACGTACTTACTACCTTATTACCGGCTTGCTTTCCAGTCTTCAGTAGTACTACATTCTGTGAGAGACACACAATGGATTTAAGGTTCATGGATTTGTACAGATTCAGATTTAGTACACTTGTTACTTATGAAGCTATTTATTCATGAAATTTACAGACACTCTGATCATTATTGAATAAAATTTCAAGGAAGATACAAGTACAGTCAAACCTTGGTTTAGTGACCACCTGTCTACAAAGACCACAGGATTTTTGTTTCTCTTGAAAATGGTTTCTCATTGAAACATGTACTAAAGACCACCTGCCTATGGAAACCACCTTTCCTGCCTCCCTTTGGTGGTCTTTATAGACAAGTTTCACTGTACATGTAATTCTGCATTTCAAATTTTTGTGGTTTTGATACAGAATTGAGGATTTTTAAAATGCAGTTTGTTTTAAGAGCTGTCCATTTCACACCCTCATATTATGTTGATTGAGTGATTTCATATTCTCCAGGGAGAAGGGGCCGGAAAAGGAATTGGGATATAACTTAATGCATCAACCACTTAACCCACATTTGAAAAGCTTTTTTTTCCTGAAATAATATTGCAATATCATTATTTGTATTCCAAAGAGCGAATTTACCAAAACTCTGATCAGTGATCAATGAATACAAAATGAATCTTTTTATTTCTCTATCGCACTTGAATACAGAAATTCTATATCATTATCAGTCATAAAGATATTACTTCCTGACATTAAATGACATTCATAAATGTAATTATGTCTGTCATATTGTCTGTTAAATCTTTCTGTCATGATTTCGGTTCATTTCAAACCTTTCAAAAAATCATGAGAAATAATAATCAGCAGGTTAATTGGAGAGAATATATCATGAAAGAAAAAAGGGGAAGGAAAAAGGGGAAGAAAAAAGAGGAGAAGGAGAAGGAGAAGGAGAAGGAGAAGGAGAAGGAGAAGGAGAAGGAGAAGGAGAAGGAGAAGGAGGAGAAGGAGGAGAAGAAGAAGAAGCAGAAGGAGAAGAAGAAGAAGAGAAGAAGAGAAGAAGAAGAACAACAACAACCACAACAACAACAATGACAACAACAACAACAAGAGATACAAATGAGGAAGATGAAGGAGTAGGATGAGGCAATGAAGAAGTGACAAAAATATATCTTACATCTTTATGTTTTTTTCCTTGAAGATGAGCTGTCCACAGTATTTCATTCTTAACCTGCTGGTTACAAACCACACAGATCAACTGTCCTAGGTTGTTGTATGTGTGACAGAGTTAAGGAATAATTAATTCTTACACTTTAATTTAAAAATCAACAAAACTTCATGTTTGACCTTATGCGACTCTGCAACTAATGCAAGTGCACTCCAGCAAAGCATAGAGTCAAGCTAATGTGTATTGACCTCTAGTGTTGCACTACGTGCTAAGAGGCAGCAATTACACACATGAATAGTCAATACACAGTTACACACATTACACACAAATGCACACAATAAATACGATGTGGCTGATCGACAAGTTTGTCAGTAGACTCAAGATTTGAATTTTCAAATTATTCTTTCTTACATCGGTAAGTTGAGTTTTTAAAAAATTTTACTGCTATTTAGGTGTCATCAATTGTCACTATTAAAAGTTCAGATTTTGAGAGAAATCGGTGGAGTTTTGTACAGTGGTGTTTGAAATGTTGAGAATCAATAGAACAGTTTTTAATACACAGCCGGATAGTGCAAGTGTAATGTATTCAACATCTACCATATGAAGAGAGATTAGGAAAACTAACTACTTTGGAGAAAAGAAGAGAGTGAGGAGACCTACTGCAAACCTACAGCATAATGGCGCAAATCAACAAATCCAAAACCAAGAATTATTTTCAGTTTGCTAACTATGATAGAACAAGAGGCCAAGGCCATTCCACGAAGCTAGCCGAAACAAGAAGCCGCCTTGACATCAGGAAAAATTTCTATAGCCAGAAAGTTGTGAATGAATGGAACAAGCTGCCACAAACTGCAATTGATGCTCCCACACTGTGATTTTTGAAATGGGTCCCATGGGACCCCCTTTAACCCTGCCACACCACACTATCTACTGGATCTTCATCGCCACTATGGCGAGGTGGGGCCTTCAAGGTATATTCAAGGTATAATCCTTAATTTCTCTACATAGAACTCAGAATAGAGCTAGATCTAGATAAGCAGGGATAAGATTCTAGAATCTAGCACTCCAGCAAAGCATAGAGAGTCGATGCTAATGCGTATTGACCTCTATAGCTGCACTACGTGTGAATAGGCAGCATTTCAATACATGAATAGTCAATTAACTCACAACACACAAATGCACACAATCATGCCGATCTGGCTGATCGGCAAGTAGTCTATGACAGTGGTCTAGATTTACAATTTAAATTTTTAAAGTTATTCTTTCTAACATAGATACTGCTATTTAGGTGTCATAAATTGTCACTAAAGTACTGATTTTGAGTGAAATCAGTTGAGTTTTGTACAGCAGTGTTTAAAATGTTGAGAATCAATAACACAGCTTTTAATACACAGCCAGGATAGTAATGCAGCTATAGACTATGTGGAATCTAGTGGCAGTAGATCTAGACCTACTCTACTCTCTAGCTCTAGTGCAACACGATGAGAATTAACATTTCTGACAAAAACTAAACACAGAATCGTGGCAACATTTCAGGAATACCGAGATTTAATGGATTATGTTGTGCTCATGTTATGGCTCATAATGGCTGTTACAAAACCACTGCTGGAGCTGGAATAGCAATAAATTCCACTGAATTTAAAGACAAGTCAAGTGCTAACGTAATTTTAATAATATGGGACTAGATCTACATTATTTCCAATAGGATAGAATAACGGCAGAATTTCACGATGTTCTGTCTTTAATACTGTCTGTAAAGGATATTTGGCTAAGGGTGATTCGATCCTCTTGACACTGGTTTGCTTCGCAGCTTTTTTCTGCCTCATTAATTCCCGAAGATCGACCTTCTTCCTTCCACTGGGAGCTGCCATTTTGATGTATATATTTTCTGCCAATGGTCTTATGAATATGAGCGCATGCGCGGAAGTGTATATGTATTTTGGAAAGGGGTGGGGGGTGGGGTGAGATTCAATGGGGATGGGGGGTAAGAGCACATATTTTTTTTTTTTGTCCCAGAAATTGGAAAATTATGCCGACCGATATTTCGTTCAGTAGGAGGGGGAGGGGGGGGGGTCCCTTTTTGTCCCCCTCCAAAACACATTGAAGGGGGGGGGGGGTAACCCCCCCCCCCCCGCGTACGCGCCTGGGGGGTGTTGAGTAAGAAAGAAAACAAAATCGAAGTGCTCACTACCCCCCCCCCCCCCCCCCCCCACGTTGAGCAAAAAAAACAAACATACGATACAAGTACGCTGGTTCATTTTACATGTTTGGCGAGAGGTTTTTTCATAAATAAACCGGGAGCTAGATTGCGGGAGAGCGGGAGGAGCATGGTAGCGGAAGTCTCCCGCAACGAGTTGGTGGGACGGCGGGAGAATCAGCGTGGTGGCGTGAGACCCCCTCAAATGCGTGAGGGTTGACAGCCCTGTCTAACTTAGATCTAAATCTAAGCAGGGGCGGCGATTTCTTTTCATGACCTGGGGGGGGGGGGACGAAATGCGAGGGACGAGGGAGCAGTGGCGTAACGAGCAAAAACTTTTTTTTTGGGGGGGGGAGCAGAAAAAATCCGCATCACCACCACACTTACATGTAATTACACAGGCCCTGACAACGTTTTTCAAAGTGGGGAGGGGGGGGGGGGCTAAAGTATTTACGATCAGGTAGAGCAAAGCGAGCAAAGCTAGTGGAGCCAAAATTGGCATGGGGTCCAGAGGCAAAGCCCCGGCAGGGGTCAAGGGGCGGAGCCCTATGAAGCCCTATGGAGCCCGGCCCCGGAAGCTCAGGTGTTTTAGGCATAATTAAGGTCAGATGACAAGCATATCCATGGGGCAGGACCCCGGAAGTTGAGCAGTCAGATGAGCGTATTTTGATACCTTATTTGTGACATGCACTGACATGCAGGTCACTAATTGGAGTGGGGTCCAGGGGGCGGAGCCCCCAGAAGCTTGGGGTTTTAGGCATTAAATTACGATGAGATGAGCATACAGGGGCCGCCTTAGGGCCCCTGGTGGGGTCCAGGGGGCAGAGCCCCTGGAAGCCCAGGGGAAAATGCCATTTCAGCAACATTTGTAAATCATTGGTATCGAATTAGAAATAAACCATGTTTGAATTTTATTTTTGGAGGGGGAACTTCCCCCAAGCTCCCCCCCCCCCCCAATCAATACGCAAGTGCAAGGGAGCATAGTGAATGAGAGGGGTGAGTGACAGAAGGACTACCCCCTCACAGGTTTTTGAAGTTTTGGTTGTATTAAAAAATTACATTCCATAGCAAAACTACGGTATAGTATAAAAACAAGCAATATACTTTTTCCACACTTCACTTTTCTCGGTATTTACATTTTGAAGGATAAGCAACCTATACAAGGGAGCTGCTACCGAGTGAGAAGATTTTTGCGTTTTTATTTGTCTAAACGCTGCACTCTTGGGCCCTCCAGAGCCTAAAAGTGTGTTGCAGTCTTTAGTCAGTATTTGCTATACATTTTTTTTGCACTTTTTCAAATTTTGAAGGGGGACGATCCCCCCCCCCCCCCCCGGATCGCCGCCCCCTGCTATCTAGACATAGACTATATTGTAAGACTGTATTGCCGACCCGTCTTATAAACAACGGTGCATTTTTTGGAATATCAGACCACAGAGATGTGACTTGATCAATAGGTTTGTGGAACTCCCCGGGCAGGGGTCATACTTTTTAACTTGACGATCTCACAAGTAATAAACTACACTATAAAACAAACAGATTATATAACACATGAAAGTAGCTGAATTTGAAGAAATTGGTTTTATTAATGTCAACATCTTAAATTGATGCATAATGTAATGGTTTGGCACTATCATTGGTCTAATACTATATAAGAAAATTAGCATCATAAAATGAAGGGAAAAAAAGAAGCCTTACGCGCCAAAAGCAGATCATTTAGATTAATCAGTATATCAACATAATATTGCAAGATAAAATTGGGGATGGCTTAGTTAAGAATCTTGAACTTCCTGTAAACATCTTCTACATATGCTTTGACATCAACAAATCTACAGGCATTTTGTTTCCAATCAAATTGATCAAAGGTTATACTTCAATGTAGGCCTGGTCATTTGGGAGAAGGTAGCTAGCTGACACCGAATGCATAGCACAGGCGTGGATCCAGGGGGGGGGGAGCAGGCCTTGCCCCCCCCCCAAAAAAAAAAAAAAAAAAAAAATTGTGAACAGAAATTAACCTTTTTGTTTTTTGCTCAAGGGGGGGGGGGGGGGGTGTATAGTAAAAAAAAAAAAATATTGCTCACTACATCAGCTGGTACTCTACAAGTATCTCTGTGTGAAACTCCTACAGCGTTTTGTGCTAAACTTTGAGAATACATATGGTCTACTAAATGTGCATTACAATAAAAAGAACATATATTTTCCATATTGATCAAATACATGTATTGAATTTGACTTTCATTTTTCCTCTTTTATTCTTCCCTCCGACCATTTCCGGTTTAAATTCTGGATTAAACACGATCAATTTGATGCTGAAATGTAACTAACAGTGTTATAATATCACATATAAATTAATAACACAGGTATAAAGACAGAGAACAAACAATTTCATACTTCTACAGTAATATCAATTAAACAACAGCATGAGATAAGCAATAGTACTCATTTACGAGATTTAGAACATTCAAATTTAGATAAATATTTGTAACATGGAAGACTTTCAAGTATCAAAGTGTCATATATTTTTGTGCAGTCAAGAAATTCCTCTACAAGCTAGGTTTTGGACAGAGTACAGTCTGAACTGCACCCTTAAAATATTGCACAAATTGTAAACCTTGGTCTGACAATTGCATAGCATAGTACATAACATAACAAGTAAAAACAGGTACCACAAGTATAGTTTTCACCTTTAAACTTGTCATCACAACCTCTAACTGGATAGACCTATAACAAATAAAAATCAATATTGTACACTTTATATACCTCTACGATTTGCCCAGCTCTAAAACTCTTTGTTGATTGGCAAAAAGACAGTGCCTTTTATCCTCTGGAAAAGGCGCTTTATAAATCAAATTATCATTATTATATTAAGATGGAAGTATGTTTATGACATGTAAAAAAATTGATAATATTCTGTGCAATTGCTTTCACCATCATATAAATGAAATACTCTATGAATCTCCATGTCATCGCATTTATAAAACACATTCACAGGCTGGGCACAGCCTCCAAAGACCCTTTCATTCTACAGTCATAGTAGGGACTTTTAGATTCGCACGAAGACAATGGGGATTGCTACGTTCGACATTCTTTTAATGCACTGCCTTGAATGGACGTCACACGTATCAGTCCACGCAAATCTAAAAGTCCTAATAATGTCAATTTGAGCCATTCAAACTGTTTAGATTTTGCAGAAATGAATTTTGAACAAGATTCTCTATGCAATGGTTTTAAATAAATATGAGAACAGAAAATATTGATTGTTCGATTTGATTTAGTTTTACCATCAATAAATATTGGATGGAACAACGTACTTGGTGATACAACCCTGACAAAAATCTTTCGATTACCAGAGTTTTACCATCAAATTACCATCAAAACAAATTGAGGGATGAGTAATTGTAAAGTAAATATTGGAGTGTTTTTGAAGTACAGTAAACATACATAATACAATTTGAATTCATTCTAAGCTAATTACAAAAGATATGACGGAAACCTGGGTTGTTACATCAAACACTCAATCACAATCAAGCATGGATTTTTGGTTAGATAAGTCTGAAGCATGTGGACAATTCTTTCACTCTCTGATGATACTCACATTACATCATCATGATTTAAATCTTAACACATTTTATTCATTTTAGTTTCCTGAATCAGTTAGCATGGTAAGTCATTCTCAATGTTGAACTCAGTTCATACGGCACCATGAGAATAATTTCAGTGTGGACAAAGCAGGAGAAAATTGGAATATGTTGGCAAGAGAGAGAGAGAGAGAGAGTTTGTTACTGAATTCTTCCCCATTTTTAATTCTCTTCCCCGTGGCAGTGACTGGATCTACATCACTGGATCCCTTCCCCGTCTTCGGTCTTTTCCTGTGGTAATGGTGGGGACTGGGGATAGCGTGGTCTCATTGTAGCAAAGTCCTCTTCCAATCTGGTATATTCCATCCTCCCCATCTTCTTTAGTGTCCAGCACTACAAGGAAAACAAACATGCTCATACAATATGTTGGTATATCCAAAATTATCATATATAACCTTTAAAGCTTAAATTTACATATTGATTATAGAATGTAGATAGTTCTTTAATACAATGTATGTGATTTACATTACAATAATCATAGTAAGCAATTGAAATTGATCTTCTTTTTCCCCCCAGCTCATGGGTATATGTTACCGGTGTTCATTCTCATAAGGGATATAATGAAACATGGCACCTCTTTTTCATACGCTGAGCATATTTATAGTTCTCAGTTTGGGAAGTGCTTCCATTTTCATTAATTGTGTAATAGTGGTCCGCAAATAACATACCGGTCACCTCTATCCATCCAACTGATAGGCCACACTTCATAGAAATCAACTGACTTTTAATAATCAAAGTTCATGCTCCAATTCTATTTGGAGATTACTTCTTCAAAAGGATGTCATGTGAGGTCAAGACTAGCTATACTATTACAGGGAAAGTGGAGTTCTGTTTTCAGACCGCACATGCCTTCAAAGTGCATGTTTATTGCTCTTATTCTTATCTATGACATTTCTAGTGCCCTTTTTACGACCTGAAATTGCTATGAAGGTAATTTTAGACCCCCAAATGTGTGAAATTTAGCCAATACGATACCAATTCAGCTCCACTTTCAAAAAAATACAGTGACCGTTAATTAATTAATAATAATAATCCATGAGACGGCTGGTATATAACCAACACAAAAAAAGCCGACAGAAAGCCAACAGCTGGTTCAAATTAACAAATATTTGTGGTGGTACACAAATATTAGAAATCAATATATTTATGGATACTTCAGCCCTCTCTGAACCGATTTTGATCAAACAAAGATGATTTTGTTATTTAAATTGTATGTTCTTTCAAATTTGACACTCATTTTTTCAATATCTCACAAAAAAATTTAAAAAATTAGCGCCCTCTGCAACAGAACTCAACCATCCCTTTAAATGGAAAATTTTTGCTAAAGAGTTGGACGTATTGAAAAAGATACAAACCTTTATCTTGTGTGATAGCTCAATTCCAAATGCCTGTAAAAATTAAAAAAGGATCGATAAAAGCAAATGTACAAATTAGATGGTGTATATACTTTGCAATGCCTTCTGTGTTAAAAAGCAAGTTTTCACATGTTTCTATCCTTTTTCTACTCTAAAACAATAACCAACTTCAATTAGATACACTACCGGTACTTACTTTTTTTCTGTAACATACAGAATATATCAAAAATTCTAAGACATTAACAGAAACATGCATATAAAAAAAATTGATACTTAAAATATTTCTCAATTCTGTCCATGGTCTCTTCAATATTAACTAAAAGAAAACATGAAAACTTAATGAAACTCCAAATTGAGCCAAATCAGCCAACTCTGTCTATGCCAAACCTCCCATATATAACCTTCCTTTTAGTAACATAAGGATTATAATAAAAAAAAAATATATATATAAAGGGAATAGGAAAGATGAGCAAATGCATAAAGAAAGAAAACATTAAAACAAAAGTAAATAACAAGAATAAGGAAGTTACAAGAGCTATAAAAAAAAGTAGAAAATAAAGAAGACCTAAAAAGAATCAACAGTATTCTTCCATACTCACCAAATATCCCACAAATATAACATATATCACACCCAATATGCTCATGAGGAAATACGCCCACCATGGTTTGTTGTTCAGTTCCTGCAAGGTAAACATATTAAAGGGAAAGGGTAGTCAGTTCCATGAGCAGTGGGTCATTAGTCGTTGACACCAGACTTGGTGGAAATACCATTAATGGGTGTACAAGTTTCGCACGTAGCAAACCTGTAGTCCCATCGAGAAATATATACCAACCTAGTTTCTCAGAAAGTCTTCGGGTGAGAGAAATGTAAGATAATGACTTTTTTCTTATATGGGGCAATTGGTGGAAAATGCAGAGCATTAATTACAGAAGGCCTATTGGTCATAAAACTAGTGACGGCTAATCCCAGTGATCAACAAGACCTGTCATTGGATAATCACCCAAATGGTGTTGAATTGCCCATGAGAGCCCACTATTATGCATCTTTAAGTAGACAGAACATGAAACACATGACATCCACATGGTAGGATTCTCAACAAGGAAATATATATGATTTAAAGAGGAAACGAGAGGAAATGACATGCTTCCTATCAAGTTGAATCAACAATCCATTTAAGCTTAAAGGTAAAGACCAGTATTGGAAACGCCCCAATTTCAAAAAATGAAATGGAAGCTCTTATTACCAATCATGTGAAAGAATATGTTTTGACTAATACATGATGATAACAATTTTGCCGGGAAACCGCCTACTAATTGATATATTTGGTAATCAGTTTATCTACATGGTCTGTGAGAGATAAACGCACGTGTTGCGCACGTGTGCGTATAGTCCCATATTCATCTTTCTGTGTACAGTGCTTGTAACTTTACGAAGACTGGGCCATATTTCTTATCATTTTGATGATTCCAGAACCTTGCAGTACACACCAATACTTATATGCTAGATGATCAACCTTTTCTGATCGATTCCACAACGTTTCTTTCACAATGCAATTGCATGACCATAACTGGTCTTTACCTTTAATAATGGTGACATATGGTCCATTCTAGTCAATATAACATTCCCGTTGCTATCATACATCAAGAAATATGAAAATACTGTTTTGCGGCCCTTAGTTTTTCCTCAATACTTTGATAAATTTTGAAATATGAACAAATATATTTAAAATCAATTATACCAAATATTAACTTTTTCCCAATTGTTATGATATATGTATCTTGGCTTCAACTATCTTTATATGCATCAAAGAAAGAACATGTGATACTCTATGAGGCATAATGATAATATAATGAATAACCTTGAAGTCCATACATATAAACAAACTTAAATTAAACATGAAAAACTTACTGCAAACACCAAGTAGAAGTTGACCCCCATTATGAGTACTGCAAGGCACCACACTATGAATTTGGTGAAACTGCATGACAAAGAACATAACATATATAATTATATTTGAGTAATATATAAGAAATTTTAAACTTGGATAGTTTATTATAAAATTTACAAAGTCACAAACATTTCTTCTAAACCAATACAGGTCAACCAACCAAGCCATTTGATCCCACTGCACACTATACTTTCTGACTGTATTCCAACATTAGAAGAACTCAAAACTTCAATTTCACTATTTATTCCAAATATTAAGAACCATAATTAGGAAGACTATGTTTATATTTTCATATCTAATAACACTGCCATTACTTTCAAAAGTGAATCAAACTTGGATCAAAAATATAAAACCCAACACACCTGTGGGCTTGATTTACACTGTCCACTCATACTTGATGATTTATGAAAGGCACTTCAACAGAAGAGATAAAGAGGAGCTGGTTCTAAAATGTTGTTGTGATCATGGAGAAAGTGATAATAATCATGATAATAATAATAATAATAATTATATGTCTTGTTTAACCGGGGTAGCCTCATCAGTATTAATACTGTTCTCCCTGATGGCCCTGCAATCAGGGGCGTACGCAGGGGGGGGGGGGGGTTTTGGGGGTTCAAACCCCCCCTTTGGTATTTTTATGTATGTAAACCCCCCCTAAAAAAAACCTAAAACCCCCCCCTTTGATTTTTTTTTTTTTATTATTAAAAAAAAAAATTATACCCACGGCAAACCTAAATAAGGTGACCTTACCTCCCCCCCCCCCCCACGAAGAAAAATGTCAAATTTTAAAATTTCGAGACACCAAAAAAAAAAAAAAAAGTTTCCGCTTACCCCCCCCCCCCCACTGAGCGACTTTTCGGCCGGCGCGATTTTCAAATTTTCGGGAGCATAATATTTTAAAACCCCCCCCTTGAAAAAATCCTGCGTACGCCCCTGCCTGCAATCATATTATCAACCCGGCTTTAGCGTTTGACAGTGAGACTATCCAAGAGGAGGAAACCAACCTAGAGTTTTTAAACTCTCCCATCAGTCTCTCTTGGCTTGTGAAGTAGAGGATAGGTAGGAGAGCGAATGGAAGCTGTATACTCTGGATGATATTGATGATAGAATTGAGTTCATCCAGGGCTTTTCCAGCAAAAACAGCCACTAGGAGGGTGGGTACCATGGCGATAGATCTGGTTAGCAAGACTCTTTTCCACTTGCTCCATCGGATGCCTAAGAAACCCTGTGAAAAACAATATCGGTCAATAGATTCCATTTGAGCTAGGTAGTTGGAAATAAAAGTCATTTTTACCCTGATGGAAATTATTTTGGAAAAGCAAATGACAGAAAACCAGAGTAATGCAAACAAAATAGTCAGTGAAGAAGCACATACCTGTATGACAGAGTTCTTCAGAAATATAATGTAATGCAACGGGAAAATTTATGCTTCACTATACCAAATAAATAGTCATAATTCATTTGTCTTATGCCATGGAATTAAAAAAACATCCTAAACTACCACCAGTTAAATATATCTTCTTCACATCAAGGTCAAGGACCATGGGGAGTTATAGCATCATAACAAACCCTTTTGTGAGAATCGTTCCACATTTTGTGGTGTGGCTCAATAACTTTTGATTCAGAGCCCTAAAAATTTACCAGGGGGGTGTTTCACAGAGATTCTAGGTCAAACTTAAATCAAAGTTGGACTTAAATATTATGGAGAGCCATTTGTAGCCTTATAATGAAATATATTCAAAAGCAAAAATTCAAGTATTTTAGACTTTTTATAAATTCCACATCAAGAACATGAAATCTTCCATGATAATAGAAATTATGAATGATTTGAATCAACATTTTATGCCTTTTGAAATAACTTTTACACAATATTCTCAAGGATGCTAATGGCTTTCCATAATTGTTAAGTCCAACTTAGAGATAAGTTCAACTTAGGATTTTTGTGAAACACCCCCCTGATGCATGAGTAGAAAAAAAGCATTGATATTTGTTTAATGACTATACTGCATTTGATGCTAGGAAAAAAAGGAAATTAAGCTCAACAATCCTTAAATTGGCACCATGTTGAGAGAATCAAAGTCATTATTTTCTATCAAAATTGCAATTTTTCAAAACTTTTGGTCAACATTCTTGCCCATGTGAAAATTACATATAATTTGAAAAATGCAGCAATAAACTAGATGGAACTTCGACTGCGTGCAGTCGAAAATGATGCCTCCGTCATAGAGCAATTTTACAAACCAAAACAGAAGAAAATTTTCAAATTCAAGTTCGACTGTAATCCATTAACAGGTTCTCAAAATATCGTGATTACAAGCTATTTCTCATATACATGTTTGACCTCATGACCCCAAAATCTACTCATTTCATTGGCTTTGCAAGATACATACATGACCAAAGTTTGGTAGAAATCCATCAATCAGTTCTTGAGATAATGCGATCACAAGCTACTTTGCATACATAATGAGCCCTGTGACCTTTGACCTTTGACCCCGTGACCCCAAAATCTAATCAGTTCATTGGCTCTGCAAGTTACATACATGACCAAAGTTTGGTAGGAATCCATCAATCAGTTCTTGAGATAACGCGATCACAAGCTATTTTGCATACATAATGAGCCCTGTGACCTTTGACCTTTGACCCCGTGAGCCCAAAATCTAATCAGTTCATTGGCTCTGCAAGTTACATACATGACCAAAGTTTGGTAGGAATCCATCAGTTGGTTCTTGAGATAACGCGATCACGAGAACGGGACGTACGGATGGACGTACTGACGGACGGACAACCCGATAACATAATGCCTCCGGCTACTTCGTAACGGAGGCATAAAAATATATACATGAAGAACAATGTGTGAAAATTTTAGCCGGCCTAAATATAAATCCTGTCCTGAAAGGGTTAAGCTCAGGGAAAACCCCTATGGTTTAACCTACCTCCATAGCAAACTGGCCAGCATAAGTGCCCTGCAATTAAAAAGAAAGAAGAACAAAATCAATATCAACTCAACAAAAAGAAACGTCCAATTTCCAACAGGATTTCCTATGTCAAATGTTGAAAACATTAATTCTCAAATAGGTCATAAAAAAGTGAATTACTTCCTGTTTTTATGGGAGATGATTCAGACCGACAGACTCAAGAAACTAAAATCAAAACAAAAAACATGTGGATAATACAAAATAGATCTTGCTGATACTATCCACATCCGAAGACTATACCTTTTTCATTTTCATTCTTACTTGAATTTCAAAACAACAAATCTAGTACCATAACAATCAAAGTCCGATTTTGACTCATTAATACATTTTCAGTTTTTATTATCGGTGACTTTCATATTTTGAAGAAGAAAGAACCCAAAACATTCGAAGATATCAATGCATATGAGTCAGTACGAAAAATCCTGAAACTACTTCTATTAAATCAGTAAGTACTTGAGAGAAAAAAATTCTTGTATAGCTTTAATGTCATAGCTAGTATACATTTCATCAGGTACAATTTATTTCAGCAGTTTACCACTTAAACACTATTATTTCCACCCTAATATGCTGAACCCCATGGAAAGAAGTTTAGCAAGACTACGATGTCTTTGCGCCAAGCAATCAAATATGACTAGTTTCAAGTTTTCTACACATGCTCTCATTTTCGTCCTACATTATAAGTTAAAATCATGATTTTTCATACTCTAAACCGTTTCCTTTCCAAAGGCACTGATCATAGATAGTATAGTAAGGATAACATACCGTCATAGTTGAGCTTTGTCCTGCAGCAAGGAGTCCTATGCCCCAAATGATCTTCATGGCATTACCATAATTGTCATGAATCAATTGACCCTAAAGGAAGTGAAAGAGAATTTAGATCACATTATAGAGAAGAGATGAAACATACATAGGAAGAAACAATCTACACTGAAAGCAATATCAAAGTTTACCTGAAAGATTTGGTGGAATTATAGGTATTTTAAGTAAGGCATCAAACATTTTAGTACCCCAATTATGTAAACATTTACAATCAAGTGTTTAAAAAAATGATAACAATAGTACCAGTACATCTCAAAGTTTAGATTTTTTGTTTGTTTCACTCTTGAAAGGAATTGGAGTACATTTCATGATGAATATCATTATTCAGTCTACCGGTCACTCCAGAATTGATTCTGATGAATCCCTTTTTGTTAGCAATTTCACTTTTTTTTTCACACAATGCATAAACAGTTCCTTACTTTCAGACTTGCTAGAATTATGAACTACCTCTGAAGGCATTGTTTAACAATGTTTCCAGTTTTACAAATCTGAGATGCATGGCCCTACGTGTTATATGTGTCTGTGATATGGTGTAATTTTGAAGCCCTAAACAAATTGCGCTTCAAAATTATCATGAAGTACTTCAAAAAAGTGAAAATCTTTGAGTGACCAGTTTTACCATACTCATTTCCCCCAGTATACTGTAGTGTTATAAAACAGTTAGGAAAACAGTTTTTGAAATTTCTAATTCCAATTATAAATATCCGATAATCAGACAGGTAATCGGCTTGTAAAATTCATGGGATTCCTGACTGACCTAAAGATTTATAATTATGATTGCAGCACGAGCTAAATATCGTATTTTTTAAAGAATGCCAGCCAAAGATACCAAATCCCTTTAAAGCTAAACTACCTACAATGTTGGTCCAAGAAAATAGACTTTGGATTCCACATCAAAGCTCTTACAAAAGTTTTGTCAACTCCTCTTTTCAAAAGGCACCCCCAAAATCAAGACAATTAATTTCCTTTACTGCCGAATATTGAAAATTAAGGTGACTGAATTATCTGATCGTGAAAATGACTTACAGCGGTGAGGAGCGTCGCATTCTCAGATGGATAGAAGGCAGCAGCAAACACAGCCACAACAAACAGGTTGATAAGAAATGATATAAACAACGCAATAGCTGTAGACCAAACAAGATGAAAAGATAAACAGGTTGAAAGTCTCCTCCAGATATTTAGAGTTGGAAAGACAAACTCAAATACTTGATCATGATAGTTTCGAAATTGTGACTTTTCATCACACTTCCAAAAAAGTCATGGATAAGAAATGTTTTCAAGTCTGGTCATCCACAAATATGTTTGAGACCGTATTCCCCTAAACCTGTACATTCTTTTTAGTTTTCACATGAAGAAAGTGTATTAATTTTAGTACATATGCCTCATAAGTCTGCCTCTTTTTATAGAAATATACAACTAATGGTATTTATCTCTCTGTTATTGAATATATTTGATGAGTTTCTAGTAAGACTTTTAAGTGATTTTACGCAACCCAAAATATCTTACCTGATTCAATGGAATAGTACTTATTGCTTTCTCGAACCTCGACTTTATCTTTGTGATCTACCTTGCGAGTCTGAATACAAAGAACAGAGAGAGAGAGAGAGATTAATCTTAATAACCAGGCATTTTATGTGGTACACTTTTGAATTGGCCAAAAAATAAAAATTTGATGCCCTGGAAGGGACATAATTTCATTTCATTTGCATAAAGTACCATAAATAATCAATGGAGCAAAATCTCACAATTCTGTGTAGAAGTTTAGTGTTCCAAATTTAGCTCTACCAGATACGGCAAACCAAATCAAAATCGGTCAAGAAATGAGGGAAAATAAGCAATTTTTGTTATTTTTGGAATAAATTTGCATAAATTACCATAATTAATTATTGGAGAACAATTTCAACATTCTGTGTAGAATTTTAGTGTACCAAAGTTAACTCTACGATATAAAGCAAACCAAATCAAAATTGATCGAGAAATTAAAGGAGAAGAAGCCTTTTTTGTGATTTAGAATAAATTTGCATAAATACGCATAGATAATGAATTTCACAATTCTGTGTAGAAATTTTAAATCCCCCTCCTAGCCCTATCATATGAAACAATCAGAATTAAAATCGGTTGAAAAATAACAAAGAAGAAGCATTTTGAATATCTTGATGTTGATGCCACAACAAAGTCTAAGTTTTTTTACCTTAAATTACCTTTGACCTTAACTTAGTGACCTGAAATTCTACTCGCATTATTAGGGAGACTTGATAACCCTATAGTCCAAGTTTCATTGACTAAGAACTTATACTTTCAAAATTATATCAAAATTCAAAAACTTAACCTTAGGTTAAGTTTTTGATGATGATGCTACAACATAGTCCAAGTCTGTTGACCTGAAATGACCTTTGACCTTGACTTTGTGATCTGAAATTCCACTCACATGATTGGGGATACTTGATTACCCTATAGTCAAAGTTTCATTGACTAAGAACTTATACTTTCAAAATTATATCAAAAATTCAAAAACTTAACCTTAGGTTAAGTTTTTGATGTTGACGCCGCCGCCGCCGCCGCCGTCGCCGTCACCGGAAAAGCGGCGCCTATGTCTCGCTTTTTGCTACGCAGGCGAGACAAAAACTACTCTGAGAGAAAAAATAAAAGAACTTGAATCAGGACAGACACTGGATACCAAAATCAATTTACGCAGTAGTATGAGTGACTTTATAAAAACAAATCAATGCAATTTCATCAAAATACTTACAGCTCCACAGTAAGGGTGCATTGCACAAAGAATGAGGGGTTATCATGTCTTAATATTAATAATGCTTATAACGATTTTATAGTTCTGAAATTTACTTTAAGGTTCTGATTATAACTTAAGACATGACGTTGAATTTTGAATAGATCAACAACTGATTGTTGAAAAACTCTGAACTATCATAAATCTGTTTTTTCCCAACAAGAATGCTTATTGGGTATTCAAAGACTGACAAATAACATGAGCATCTGTACATCTATCATCCCCATTCAGAAAAATGGTTAATTAGTTTGGAATTTTCTTTCTTGCACCATGAAATGTTTACAGAGAAGCGGTCATAACTCACCAATACGAGTGCAGAGTGCAGGTAGATGTTGTGAGGCATGATGACAGCCCCTACGATGCCCACTGCTTGTTGGATAGCTGGAAGTTTGCACCCCTCACACCACGGAAACCACATACCCTTCAAGATCTCGCCCTGGTCTGGGGCTACAACGATGTACTGTTAAACAAACAAAAAATTTGTAAAGGTCAGTTCCGGAACATAGTGAAGTTAGTTTGATGAGACATGGTGACAGCCCTAACCAAGCCTTCTTCAACGTTCATTCAAAAGAGTAAATAATTAAATTATGCAAATGCGTTTTGTGTGAATATATATATATATATATATATACACCAAGAGTTAAGCATTCTGGGATGATATTGAAACCTTTTTTTCCAACACGTTTTCAATGAATTTAGCAAAAATTAGAATACTTAATGAAAAGTACAAATTTGTGTGTAAAAGTTTGAAGCTTCCTCCCAGCCCTTGGGCTTTGAGTATGAAAATTAGTCAAGATTTCTTGAGAAATGAACATGCATTGCAGTTTGCCCTTTTGAACCATAGCTAAAATACAGAAAGCCAGACAGAAATTTAAGAGGTCAAAATAAACATTAGAGTCTTTCTTACCATGTATAGAAAAGCTCCTCCCATAGTCGTGATGAGAGCTCCAAATAACGCTTCCAATTTACGTAGACCTGAAACATCATTCAAAACCAGACATCAAAATACTTGACCAATATGTGCAAATAGGCATTATCTACAAAAGATATAACTTTTTTTTTCTACTCATTTTAAATTTGAATCATAAGAAATCATTTCCATTAAAAATATTATTCTGATGTTAAAACCATAAAAATAAATGTACTAAGATCTTCAAAAAGAATTCTTTCTTGATAGTACGTTGCTTATTTTCCCCTCTAACTCAGAATTAAAACTCCCAACCAAATAATGACTTCTCTTTGTAAAACATGAATTAATACAAAAGAAAGCAAGAGGAAACTATGCTTACCTGCACTCTCTAAGAAGAGGAATGTGAACGTGTCTACTCCGGTGATAAGGCAGCCAGCATAAATTGGAATCCTGCAAAGAAACAAAGAAAGATGATCATCATCCTTTAGCACCAAAATCGCCGGATATTTACTGTAACTGTCTACCATATCCTAAAAAGATAAGATTCTCGCTATCGCCAACATATTAGAATTATCCGTATGTAACGTTCAGTCCAAATTTCAAATCCACTCTTGGATAGTTTGGTGACCAAGTTGCTTCCAATCTATTTTGTAGCTGCGCTGTGCATGCCAGTGTTCATTGTGTGCTTGAGTACTTTATGGCTCGTTGGCTCGTTGGACGAGCCAACGGACAAGTTCCGTCTTCGTGGGGTATTCTAAAGGTAGGCACATTATTTCCTTATAGTTTCGGGAAAGGCCTTCTTTTGTTTCAATCTTGGCGTTGATATGATCTCCATCGTTTACAGTTGTAATTAAACTCAACTACAAAGCAAAAAGCAAGTAATAATTACACTCTTCTGAGATGTTGGCAGTCAAGTTGTATTCTCAATTATGTTTCCCAATCCTATAATTTCAATAAAATGCAGTGTAAGAACTTATTTTTTACTGGAGAGAAGATTGATTACTCAAGCTGATTCGACCTTAAACATCTGATCCAATGATGGCAATCTCAGTCAGGTTATCTTATCCATTGATTGCAATCAAATGTAATGTGAAAGACTTAATTATTATTGGACAGAAGATTGATTGCCACAGCCAATCCAACCACCTCTTGAATGTCTGATCCAATGATTGCAAACTCAGTCATTATATCTTATCCAATGATTGCAATCAAATGTAATGTGAAAAAGTTACTTATTATTGGACGGAAGATTGATTGCCACCACTTCTGGAATATCTGATCGAATGATTGCAATCAAATTTAGTATGAAGAGAACTTACTTATTATTGGACAGAAAATTGATTGCCACAACCAATCCAACCACCTCTTGAATGTCTGATCCAATGATTGCAAACTCAGTCATTATATCTTATCCAATGCTTGAAATCAAATGTAATGTGAAAAACTTACTTATTATTGGACAGAAGATTGATTGCCACCACTGATCCAACCACTTCTGGAATTCTTATCCAATAATTGCAATCAAATGTGATATGAAGAGAACTTACTTATTATTGGACAGAAGGTTGATTGCCACAGCCGATCCAACCACCTCTTGAATGTCTGATCCAATGATTGCAATCTCAATCATGATCCAGAGAGCTATTCGAGGAACAGGTGGATACTCCCGGTAGCACACCTGGGCTAGATGATAACCTGTAGACCATGACAAACCAAATGGTAGTTCAAGCCATATAGATTACAATGCAGAGCTGACAACCTCAACTGAACAAAAATCCTATTATTTCCCCCCAAAATCCTATTTTCAAAATAAAATCCCATTTTTGATCGATAAGTACTTTCTCACTGCGAAAATTTTTTTTTTTTTTTTTGTGTGTGTGTGTGTGTGGGGGGGGGGGGTTCCAATTTGCATAAGTTCCTACATACAGGAAGAAATTTTGTAATGGACCAATAGTTGAATACGCATGATTTCGTCATGACTGATGTGTTCGATGAACCAATTTGAACATATCCAAATTGCTGATGTGAGATGTAGGATACTTTACAGGAGAGAATGGGCTATTTGTCATTGAAAATGGCACACAAACAAACACACACATTTATTATAAAAATATTATTAAAAAAAAAATATATAAAAAAAAAAAATTTAAAGAAAAATTGTACTGTCGTATTTACTTCTAAATATCGTACGAAATACGATAAAATCGTACTGGTTGGCAGCTCTGTATCATGTGAGGATCTGTTCTAAGCAATTATTAAACTAATTAAACAATTATTGGTATAACTAACATAACTTTGCCACACTTCATGAAGCTTCATTAGTAATGACTTTGTAATCCCACAGTTGAGGCAGAATAACAAAAATGATGGAATTATTGTGTAATACAAAGCATGATAATACACGACATACTAAAAAAATGCAATATTTCCTAGCCATTATCAAATCACAAACTACATTAATTACATTATTCCTCACATATCATCTCAGTTTTTCAAACGGTATTTAATTATGCCATCTTACAGCGACCTGTCACAACACTAACAAGAATCATGCACATTGTCTATGAAATTTACTAAAGTTATTTTCATGCAGTATCATCAATGGTAATAGGTGTTGACAGACTAAACAAGAAAGCAATGTTATAACTTACCCAAGGGTGATAGTGAGCACTAAAAAAAAAATAGGTTTTTTGTTTTCCCCTCAACCACGCCCCCCTTGAGTAAAAAAAAATAGAGGATTCGCGGGGAAAAACGGCATCTAACAACATTCCCCCCTTTCGAGTAAGAAAATTAGGACAAAATTGGGGAAAAAAATGGGCACAATAGGGAAGAATAGAGAAAATAAGAGGGAAATAGGGAAAATCAGGATAAAATAGGGAAGGAAAAAAAAATTGGTAAAAAAAAAAAATCTGGATTTTTTCTTTTTTTTATAAATCGGGAAGAAGACAAAAATCGGCAAAAAATCTGGAAAAATAAAAAAAATCAGGAAACCGATTTAAATCAGGTTTTTATCAGGTCTAAACTTACCTGTAACAGAACCCAATCTGGCAGCTAGTAGCTGTAACACTAAACCCATCACTGTACACCACATAAGAACCCATAGCAGCTGTTATCAAAAAGGAAGGAATAGATCTTGTAATGGTGGAATCAACTCTGTACAAGTTTTCCTCATTTAGCTTAATATATAAACCCCCTCGACTTGTGCACAACGTCTATGAATAATAAAGCAAGGCATTAGCAATCTATTTTTTTAAAGTCAAATTAAAGTCAAATATATAAAATATTCTGATTTTAAAGGGACTTGATAACATTGTTCAGATGAGAGAAAGTGGTGCTAAGGTAGTGACTTCAATGCTAGATGTACAATTAAAGGTAATCTGAAAGTTTGAGTGAAAACGGACCATTATTAATAAATTGGGAAAAACTGATCTGATCCATTCCGTAATTCTCCCAACTATAATTATTACAATATAAATTGTCACAAAGCAAAGAATTGGATCTATATACCATTCCAGACATTTAAGTGTTGATAGATTTTTAAAAGCCTGTCTTATGTCTTTTTTTCATGGAAAAACGGTTGGAAAAATTCAAAAATGGTTGGGAGAATTTACTGTTAATCACTGTTAGAGGGTGTCGCACAGTGACACCTTCACAGAAAATCATAGTTATCTTTGCGGTTTGAGAATTTTTGTCAGGATTTTTTGCATGTTAGAGGGTTAGTTCAGTAGAAGGAATATAATAAGTAACATTTCATACAAAAATTATGCAATGTTTTCATCAACTTTCACCAATGTTACCGAGTCACTTCAATTACCTGACCCAATTGCTAAGGTCTGATTATAAATGCACATGAGCAATACAAATTGATTACATGATTACCGGTAGTCTGTAAAGTTAGCGCTGCCACTTCTCTCATTTTCAACAACATTCTGTTATCATAAGTTTTTCTAGGCTATCAAAACATCCTACAGCTACATTTGTACACATTTAATCTTGGTTAAGGGCACCAAACCACATAGGACCTAAACCCAAAATGCTACCCTTACAGTTTTAAATTTAAAAATGAGCACGAGTGTATGAGGAAAAAGGCTGCGAGTATTCGATCTTTACTTACAGTTGTTCTTTTCATTTTATTCATAATCTCTGCACCATAGTCATACCTACAATGGCAAGCGACAAAAGGCTTTCATTTTCATTTGAGGTTTTGAAATGTAGCACTTTCTTTAGGATGCAGGATGTGGTTTAATAGAGCATGACTGATATATTGAGTCAAAAATCAAAGGAAGTCATTTTAGTTCAACAAAAGAAATGCATTACAGTACAGCCATGATAATCATGTGATTAGAAAAAGATTGCTTTAGAAAAAAAAACATTCCCAGGTTGTCTGCAGCCAGTAAATATTATTTTAGTCTGCAACCAGACTATTCTTTGACATTTTATGGTCTAAGGGGGTAAGTGTTGTTTTTTCAATAATTCAATTAACTTACTTGTCAAATATGCATTGACGATAAATGCTGTGCTAACATACATTAAAACTGGCTAATAAATAGTCTACAATTTATTATGGCTTGAAATAGGACTTTTACTGAGCTACTTTATAGAGTGCTACATTGACGATACCTGTTGTGCTAACATGCAATAAAAAAGGCTAATAAATAGTCTACAATTTATTATGGCTTGAAAAGGGACATTTACTGAGCTACTTTATAGAGTGCTGCAGACGAAAAGAAAACAATGTGATTCAATTGATCTTTAGTCCGAGAGAGATGGCAGCGCTTAAAGGTAATACAAAATTTTGGGAAAATTTGATCGATAGTAATTCTTTACAATTTTGATATATTTCGATGCCCCTGTGGATGTATTATAAGCACTAGAAAATTTGGCCCCTAAAACACTTCTGCTTTCAAGAAAATGAATACCGGTAACCAAAATTTACCATGCTCCTGGTAAATTTCAAATATTTCAAATAGTGCCTAAGGCCATTCCATGGTAGCTGCGACCATGAAAATCTCAGAATATGCAGTTTTGATATATAATTTTCAGACGAGAATAGCAAATCGGTCGATTAACGTCAAGAAACATTATTTGAAAGCTAAAGGAAAATCAGTCTTAAGAGGGCGCTATACAACATAAAGAGTTTATCATTGACTATTTTATCACTTTAGGCTTAAATTCAACCGCGACAACGATCACTGAATATGATAAAATTGCATATGTTTCCATAGAGTTAGGGTTAGAGTTAGGGTAAAATGACAAAATATGACCGTTTTTGCAGCTGGGCCGAGTTGTCCCCTGGTCCGAGTTAGCCCGGATCCGAATTCATGACCCCGTACGTAGACTTTGTATTACCGTACCTTTAATGGTGTTGATTTATACCTATTTACAGTCACACATTGATTGCTTCCTCACTGAACTAAAATCTCCTAAACTGATGTTGAACAATCAAGAAAGGTTCATGGGGCATGTACATGTATTTTGTGCTAAACGTTTACATTTACCACTCAAGGAAATAAATCAGTAACTTATGATATCAATTCAACGAAAAAATGAGACATGAAGTAAAATGTAAATTGTATCAAATTGTATTTTTTTCAGTATTCAGTGAAATTTATGAATTTCATAAGAAATAAAAGGGTTTGTTTATATATCCTAGTCATTCACATCATTGCATAGCAACTTGTAAAATAGCCATGGGATTAATCTTGTACAAAGTAATTACAAAGTTCTACTTACAATCCTGACAGAACTTTTATCAATGGGTGAGCTCTCTGATGTCCCATATACAGATTTACTGGCTGACTTGATTGTCTTAATCTCCCCCCCCCCCCCAAAAAAAAAAAAAAAAAAAAAAAAACACAACAACAAACAAACTATAAAACAAACAAAAATGCTGAAAATCAGTTTTCACAATTCTAACTTCATTTAAACTAAATCAAATAATTGCTTCATTTTATCACCAATGTACATAGTTTGAATGATATTTTCAGTAATATCACATGACATCGTCATGTATGAATTACCCTGTATTCAGCGATAGCGCCTGACTGCAGATCCGATTCTATGTTGCCTGGATCAAGGTAGGCTATGCTCATCAGGAAACCAGGACCAGTGAAAGCCCACAACTTCCTCAAACTGAAGCTGGTCTAGGAAGCATTAAGAGCAGAAAGAAAAACAATTAATATCTCATGACATTATCTATGAGTTAACAGATTAATTGCTTCCCCTCATGTCATACTTTAAGATCATGTATAATTTAGTGACCACCTGTCTACAAAGACAACCTGTTTTTTGTCTCCCTTGAAAATGGTTTCTCATTGAAACATGTACTAAAGGAACCTGTACATATAGACCACCTGCCTATAAAGACCACTTTTCTTGCCTCCCTCGGATGGTCTTTACAGACAGGTTTCATTGTATAATGAGATTATTCCCTGAACTAGTATACATAGGCAGACGATGACTACCACAGTTTTTAAAGCTCATTTGCAAATCTTAGCAGTTAGCACTCCTATCACTGTGTCGCTCTTTTATCTACAAGGAGACAGAACATTAAATGCATTAACCCATTCAAGACCACTGCAAAATACGTTGGTCACTGACAGGTCAGGCTTCCGCTGTCCAGTTCAGTTGACTCTTGACTCTCAGATCATGTTTAATAAAGGGAAAACCTCAGACCTAAGTTGCAATTCATTCATGTTAAACCTGATTTTGGACAAAACCTTTAAAGGGGAATCCAACCTTGATAGCAAACTTATTTTGAAGAAAGCTGAAGAAAATAAGAAGCATACTGGTGAAAGTTTAAATAAAATTGAATCAAAATATGAGAAATGAGAAAGTCGTGAATTTTTGAAAATTTTTGCTCTTCAAATTGACTGAATCAGTAATGTCTTTGTGATGTAGTGGCGAACAACGAATTACTAAAATTTAAATTTTTCAAAAATATATGACTTGGGATGCTCTTTTCCTTTTAGAGGTCCTGTAATAATATACTCTACACAATTTATTTTGAGTAGTGCCTCAAGGGACCGCAAAAGCCCCTCAGAGAAAAACAGAAATAAGTGATATTTTTGTACATGACAATCAGGAGAGTTATTCTTCACTATGTCAAAATCCACTGAAAAATTGCCAACTTGAGATTCGCATAGCTATCAATGGTTTGATTCATTTCAAATTTTTGCCATTTTTGCCATTATATTTCTATTACTTTTCTGCTTGCATTCGAATGAACTTATTGCAAGGGTTGGATTGCCCTTTAAACCCAGCGTCAGGTTTAAATTTTATTAGCTGGTAGAATAAATTGTAAAAAAAGAGAAGACTAAAAAAAAAAAAAAAAGAAGAAAAAAACTTACTGCTCCAGAATGAGGTATATTGACTGCACCAGCGGTCATCTCGAAGCCAGGTTCGCCTTCTTTGGCGGCAGGTGCATGGTTCTCAGAAGGACCATTCTGAGGTTCCTTCATGACAGCTTCACAGGTATCCCCTCCCCCATCCATTACTCCAGCACAATCTTGAAGTTGGTTGTCTTCAATGGGCGATGCTCCACCACTGCCAAGTACCATCACTTTGGTTCAGCAACCGCCTAGAATGAGAGAAACTATGATTGGGTCTAGACTGATCAATAATCAATATCATCTGTCAAAAGTCATTTTTAGCAAATACAAAAATACATCACCTGTCAGATATTTTCCTTGTTGGCAGGGTGGGATGTATGATGTGTCACTGTCAATCAAAGTCCCCCCCCCCCCCCACTCTTCCTGGCCCCATACCTGACAATTTTGACATGATCATTAATTTCTGCAACATTACAGTCTACAGATTTTCCCTTTGATTTTCAATTCTTAACTTTTTAATGAAATATAGAAGTTGAATCTTGTATTAATTGTGAAGAAAATAATGTACCACAGGTACATTGGCACTCACATTTGACTTTGAGGATTCATGACATAATTTTTTAACTGATATAAAAGTCAACCACGCAATACTAAATCTAGTCAAAGTCAAACACAGACGATCTATCTGCCTCTCTCACTCTCAGCTCAGCTCAGTTTCAGTTTGGTTATGGAATGAGAATAATTAACCTACGAAATAAACAGCAATACAAATATTTATCTAACTAGGTCTAGGACAGAATTTCCTACTAATCGTTTCATGTCTACCGCCCTGACTACAGTATATGGTAAGCACATGCATGCACGAGCGCGAGCGCGAGCTATCTTCCACTCTACCACCACGACCAACGCAACGGAACGTCAAACCGCTAGCTCGGGCGACAAGAGAGTATACAGTACCGTTATGATTCTACGACTACTGTAGATGTTGTTTCGAAAGGAATTGCCAAGATGATGCAATCTAACCATTTAATATTGATGGAAAATTCAAGTATTCATGTATTCGCAATAGAATATACGATTTTCAAACTGGTATTGTGATAAGTACCACTATCTTAGCAGCTTAGCTTACCTACAACTTACAAGAACAATCACGTCAGTTTCTCCGCCACCAAATATTCGTACCGTACATGTCTCAAATTTCACGTGACTTTTTATTGCGCAATATTGACTAGCCTAGCCTCTGACAAGAAATTGTCGGGCTACTGGTTTACACAGTCATCATACTTTTATCTTTTAATATTAAAATTCGTAGCTATTAAAAACCCCTGTATATTTTAACATTCTTTGATATGTTATATACTAATCATCATCTTTAAATCTTGCAGCTAAAATGAAAGTGAGAACAGAAAAAGATCACAAGGCCTGTGAGTCAGTCTAAGGAGAAGTGTACATGTACAACTAGGCGTTGTGGCGTGCGCCTGTAATCCAGCTAACAGTGGAAGTTACAAACTAATTCAGCCGAGGACGCAGGTTCGAAACTGAGTCACGTCTTTCGGATGGTAAGGTTAAGGCCGGTCCCCAGACGTAAATAATCATATCTGATTGATACACGTCTGTAAAAACCCAATCACACACACACACACACACAGTACATCAAAGGCTAACAAAGTGGATGATCGAAGAATACAATATTAAATGGTAAATTATTTGACAAAGATAGCAACTGAAATTGCATAGCTTTGACTCCTAGAACATAGGCTTTAATTAACATGCAATGTGAATTTAGAATTAAATGAAACACATGAGATGAAATATTAATGAAACAAAGAGGTAACACAAAAGATAAAGAAAACAGGCTTCCCTCCCCCCCCCCCCCCTCGAGTGCCAGGGGAGGGGGCCCATTTCCAAAAAGAAGGTAAAATTAACGTGATTTTACTTGCTTTTTACCCTGGGGAGGGGGCCGGCCAGACCCCCCCCCCCTGGATCCGCCTCTTCCCTTTACCCATGAAGAAAAAAGGGGAGGGGTAGAACACGCAGAATCCTACACAGATTCGTGGGGGGGGGGGGAGCATATACGTATCTGGAAGGAAGACTGCCTAACGATCTTAAATCCCAATAATTTGTTGGTATTGTTGTTGTTGTTGTTGTTGTTGTTTTGTTTTGTGGGGAATCAAACGGGAGTGGAGTGGAAGCTAGTCCAAAATCTGGCCTATTTAATTTCGATCTGCAACACCATCGCAAAACAGTTCTCATGGGCTGGGCTGGCTGGTGAGCATTATTGAGTTCGTTGATAACGCCATCTTCGGCAGCTTGAATTATATTAAGTGTAGGGAATATAATGAAAGAACCGGCAAAATTATGGCTTGGCTTCATGAGTTGCTGGATTCGCGACTGATACATGGGGCACCTCGATTAGGGGTACTCATGCACTCAATCGACAATTTACATTCGTATATCCATGCGCCCCCTTTTGACATGTTTGAAAGGCATCTAACATTATTTGCCCACGGGTAATTTTGTTTCTTCCCTTAAAGATACTATGTCCCTTTTGCAGCCATCATCAAATTCTGTGAAACTTTGCAGGAATTATCATGTAATGTATGTCATATCTGTGAAATTTAATCGTTAGCAGTGTCCTCATATTCAAATTATGCAAGGAAACCCGTTTACTTGCTAGACTTCACTGTCAGACACTATTTAGTGACTGACTGGCTTCTGAATCTGTTCTTCTTTGGTAATAACATACATGAAAAGAGTTGTAAAGGGTACATGAGCATTTGTCTACATCAATAACCCACTTCTTACAATGGCCAAAATTGAACTGATTGACTCTTTGTGCAGCACAAAACGTACAACCTTTCAGTACAATAGTCTGAAAATCAGACTATTACTTACTGACTTGGGAGCACTTAAGTCGATTTGACAACTAATAGTCGTTATTTTTCCACTTAAAGACATTTTCAACATTTAGGGAAGTTTGAAATTAGTGTTATCTTTCAAATGCCGTTGGAATTTAACCTTTACATTTGTTTGGCCTGCAAATGGGACATAGTACCTTTAAGTGGGAGGGACATAGGGATTGATATAAGGATATTAATATGATTTGATTGAACCGTGCCTATACTATAATTTGATGAAAAACAAATGCGCCGATGAAAAAGGAATCTATATCTCGTATCAATAATATTGAGGGGAAAACACCTGACGCTATTAACAGACATGAAAAGTGGTCTATTCATGTTAAAGGGGAAGTCCATCCTGGTATTGAATTGATTTTAATAGAAGCAGAAAAAATGAGAGTAACGGGTTAGTGAAAGTGAAAGGTCAGCAAAATAGGAATGTTATGATATTTGTTTTCAACAGTAACTGTTAAACACAATTTAGCAACGCTGTGATGCATCTTGCGAGATTCTCTCCAATTAACTCTGTACAGGCAATTTCAATAACTTTTATTTTTTCTTTGTTAGTAATGACGGAGTATGATTTGTTAGTATACTGGGGTTGCTTAAAAAATTATTTCCAATAACTTTTTTTGTGATGCATGAATGATTGGAAAATGTTCATAGGTTAAATAAACAGTTGTGATTTATTGTTGGTCTTGACTTAAAAAAAACAATTGATTGACTGATTGATTTTATTCAACAGGCCTATACTTATACTTGAAGAAAATGAGAAATGGTTATATGGATACCATGGTTAAATGGTTATATTGTAATATGAATACCATATATGGTTAAATGGTTATATGGTTATATGAATACCTTATTTAAGAAAAATAACATTAATCACATATGAATGTGATCTGCCCTTGTGTTTCCCTTGTTTGACGAACTATAATTCATTACTGAGAAATTATCATCAAAATTACGACGTCTAATGATAACCAAAATTCAAATATCAATCACAGAGTTATCTCCCAATGGGTCGAACGACTGACATAATATTACCAAGCGCTTCCATACTCTTTACATATCATGTTTGTAAGTTTCCATTATTAATTACTAAATAATTGAATCACTTCGTCATTTAAAATAACTTCATGCTTATGTATATTAATAAATACAGTATATCGACATGAGAGAAAAATGTTGATATAAGAATTGCAATCAGAAACTGAAAACCAAGAATCTGCACACCCATGTTGTTTTCAAATTCAAATATGTTAGGAATGTTTTATACTCAGTATGTTTGTACTGAACATGTTTGTTCAATCGAGCATGGATGAATTAAACCATGTCCGTTTAATTACGTGAATTCATTACTCATGTTCTAATGCTGTGAGCTATAGCTACAATGGTTTCAAATACCTTTCTCGGGCTGACGATGCAGAAGTCCTAGCCTTAAAGGCATCGTTTATCAACGTTAAATCTGAGATGCATGGCCCTACGTGTTACCAGTGTCTGTGATGTAGTGTAATATTGAAGCCCTAACAAAACTGCGCTTGAAAATGATCATGAAGTGCCTCAAAAAACTAAAAATCTTTGAGTGACCGGTTTTACCATTCTCATTGCCCCCAAGAGACTGTAGTGTTATAAAAACCGTTAGAAACGAAAAAATGAAATTTCGATTTCCAATCATAAATATCTTGATAATTAGACGGGAAATCGGCTTGCAAAAGTCATGAGATTCCTGACTGACCTAAAAGGTTTAAATTATGATTGCTGCATCAGCTAAATCCCGGATTTAGTTTCAGAATCTGAGGCAATAATACCGAATCACTTTAACTGAATATCAGGTCTGCCGAATACACATGACCATACCCCCCCCCCCCCCCCCACCATACACAGACACACACATGCACCATAGTAGGTCCATGCATGCACCCGTTATTATACGAAGACCCTGTACTGGACAAATATTTTCGCAACGTTGCTTCTGACGAAATATAACAAAAGCTATCTCATTATAAGAAGCTTGTTCAGTGTATATTCGCTTTTACACGATTGACGAAGTGCCCCCGGGAATGAATCCTTATCAAACTCCTTGACATTCCAAGACGAAATCCCGTCTTTCTTATCTAACCGTTGTATGGATTCCTTCTAAGAATTCTTTTTTGAACATCTCATGCTTTGCATGAGCTTATCATTTAATTGCTATTTCATAACCAAAATATGTGTCAATAACAACTACTATCCCCTTTTCTCTCCTTGTGTGATGCAGATGATTTTATGGTACGATATTTTCTAGTTGCTTGACGACGCTATAATGATATAAGCTTGGGAAATACCCACAACCTTTACCAAATTGAACCTGTCTCGGGATTGGTTATGTCGGACAGACCTCAGGCAGATAATGAGTATAATTCATTATAATATTTTTTCAATATCCAAATAACAGAAGGTAACCATGGTAACGCAGCATTCATGTATTTGATATCCTTCAAAATCAGTGCATTCAAACAGTTAGAATAGAGGTACCTGGGAGGTGTTTCACAAAGATCATGAGTCGAACTTAACTCTAAGTTGGACTTAAAATTATGGAGAGCCATTTTGTAGCCTTAAAATAAAATGTATTCAAAGGCGAAAATTTATGTATTCTAGACTTTTTATAAGTTCCGCATGAACCATGAAATCTCCTTGATAGTAGAAAATATGAATGATTTGAATCAAAATGTTATGCCTTTTAAAATAACTATTACAAAATATTTTCATAGATGCTAACGGCTTCCATAATTGTTAAGTCCAACTTAGAAATAGGTTCAACTTAGGATCTTTGTGAAACACCCCCTGGTTACGTTCATCATTGAATTCCTATCTCGTGGACTGAACAAACAAACAATTTGAGTAGAAACAAAATTCTATCCAGCTGCACACATGCATACAATAATTGTTGAGACATGAACTGATATAAAGAAACAAGAAAAATGCGCTGACGGCAAGGATAACTTGTTTTCGTGTGTAGACGTCCCACTTTCAGTCATATTCTTGCTATTGAGTTAGTCAAACTGTCTATGATTTATTCAAAGAGGGAAAACATCTACAAGTTGCATTCTCATCCCATTGGAATGTTCGCCCATCATGTAAACCAATAGTTATCACAATTTCTCTTCAAGGAGTACGCCTTTGTATATTTCAGACTCGCTCTTGGCAACCATTAACACCGCCATTATCTCGTATGTTACCTTAAAGCCTCTCCAAAGTGTGTGAGCCCCCACAATTTGATGGCAAAATTCACTTCAGTATAATAA